ATATTCCAAGTATGGCCTTACCATGGCATTGTAAAGTAGTATTAATACTTCACGTGATCTTGATTCTATCCCTCTGTTAATGCAGCCTAGCACTGTGTTGGCTTTTTTTGGCAGCTGCAGCACACTGCTGGCTCATATTTAGGTGATTGTCCACTAGGACTCCGAGATCAATATGTGAAAGCTTCCCACAGGGCATCAATGTTCTTATTTATAACTGCACTCAGCAATTAGTAGCAAAGAATCAAGGATAAGGCTGATGACTAAATTGGATGACTAAATTGATTTAATGCAGTTGCCAAAGAAGCTCTAAAAACAATGATCAGCTATTGCAGAATCTAGGAATAAGCCATATTTAGACCAAAGTTTAAATTTTATGTCCTTTTTTCCTGCCCTTGGTTGGTTTCTCACCCTGGGCTATAAAAGGGGTGTGCAATGTGTTTTGATAATGGTCCAATCAGGTTTTGGAGTCTTTACTTTCAGCTGAGCGGGCTTCAGCTTGCTCCAAAGGGAGCCTGGGTAAAGTTAATCCATAATCTTCTTCCTTTAGCAAATTATTTTTACTTTCAGCCAACTGCTGAAAGTCCAACAATTTGGGCTTCAGAGCTATATTTTGCTTAATGACAGAATGATTCACTTAACAAGTGCTTAACAACTTTGCAAAAAAGGTCATAAAATTGGGTGTAACTCACTTAACAACTACTTTACTTAGCAACCAAAATTATGATCCCAGTTTGGTTGTAAGTCAAGGACTACCTGTTCTTCAAGCAAGGCAGAGTTGACCTTTCAGGGGCTAAATGAGGGACAGTCTGCCTTAATAAATGGCGCCAAATAATATGATTTGGACCCTGTCCACTCATCCTGTGCTATTAGCTTTCTAGAACTCAGCTATAGCAAGGGGGGCAGTGTGATTAGAATTGGCTACCACCAACCTTGAGTTGAGATGAATCATATTTTCTTCTTCTGTGTCACAGCCCCATTCCTCCACAATATTTTGACAGATTGACAGAATGTGACTTAGTTTCTACGTAGGCTTAGAGGCAATTATTCCCTCTCAATAAGAATTGTGAACATATTACAAGAACGTATTGCCAAACTGATCTAGTGTTTAAGGTGCTGGCTTAGGAACTAGGAGACCATGAATTCTGGTCCTTAGGCATGAAAGTTGGCTGGGTGACTTTGGGCCAATTACCAGAAGACTGTGAATTCTAGTGCTGCCCTAGGCATGAAAACCAAATAGGTGACTTTGAGCCAATCATCAGGAGAATGTGAGTTGTAGTATCATCTTAGGCATGAAAGCTGGCTGAGTGGCTTTGGGCCAGTCACTCCCTCAGCCCAATCCATCTCACAGGGTTGTTGTGGGGAAAATAGGAGGAGGAAGGAGCATAAGGTATGTTTGCTGCTATTTATAAAAAATAATAAAGGCAGGGTAAAAATCTAATAAATTAGAAAAAAACAACATACAGCTAGTAGTGAAACAGCTATTACAAATCCTGATTTGCTGGTGTTGTACTGCTGCTCACAGAAAGTCTTGAATGTTTCAGAACTATTAGATAAAAATAAAATATCCAAGCCTTAACTTTAATTAGCTAAACAGGGAGCAGCCCAAGGAATTTATATTTTCTCCCTTGCTCCAATCTACCAACTACCACACTGTAGAAGGAAGCGGGAAAAAAAACACCTCCGTCACTTCAATACTTTTATTTATATAATACATATACACACATACACACACAGAGAAATACTGTACACGCCTAACATTTCCCTTCCCCCTCGCACTGTACATTTCCCCTCTGTATTTCTCTTAATACAGACTCTCTCTGGACAACAGAGCCAGCCGTAGTCCTCCCAGCCCACCCGTCCCTGCCTGCACACAGTCCCTGGCCTAACGGTGTCCCGGAGCTTCCACCTTTTGCCACAGGAACTTAACATGACTGAGCTGTGGGTATGTGTCTCTGGCAGGAGGACCGCCTCCTCCTTCACAACTCAGGTGCCCCTGGAGGTGCCTGGGATGGCAATCCAATGGTTGAGAAGGTAGAGGCAGGTTTGGTGGAAATTTGACATTTCTTAGGCTCCACCCCCTACATACAGTTGTCCAAAGATGCTGGTTGGCTTTCAATCCCAGCCATTATCTTTAATCATGTGGTTCAGTTCAATTATGAATTTGCCCTCCTTGTATTTCTGGCTAGTTTCAAAGGCCTGTTCCTGTAGAAGAAGAAGAAGAGAAAGGAACAATACAGGTGGAAGGCAGCCATTGGTGGTGCAATCGTTTTAGGGAGGGAGAGGAAGAGGAGGAGGGCACAAAGCAGGAGACTCACATATTTCCATCCAAGGGTGGTCTTGCAGTTTTCACAGTATATATCAGCTACAGCATGCAGGCCCGTCAGCAGAACACGTTCCTCTGCTGGGCCACATCCCACATTCACTCTGTAGGGAGCCAAAAGATAGCACAATGTCATCTGGTTTTTAACAGGGCCCCTCCGCCCAATCGCTTTCCTAGTATGAGTTCTACTTCGCCTTGAAATCACTGAAAACGGAAATCAATCAAGGGAGGAAATGAAAGCAATGGAATTGTTCTTTGAAGCTGGACCCATTGCTGCCATAACAATGGTTCTATTCCAGTGATGGCGAACCTTTTAGACACCGAGTGCCCAAACTGCAACCCAAAACCCACTTATGCATCATCGGGTGCCGGGTGGGTGTGGCCCATTGGGTGGGTGTGGCCCATTGGGTGGGCGTGGCTGCAGTGGTAACGGCAGACTGGGTGGGACTAAAAAGTTCAATCCATCGATTCCAACTTTGCAAGATTTTTTTTTCCCACGAGTTGAAATTGACTGATTGATTGAACTTTTTTTTTTTTTTGCACACGGCGGCGGAGGCCTAAAGCGAAAAGGTTTTATAAAACCCAGCTGAAGGCCTAGGACTGGGGCGACGGTGCGCGTGCCCCCAGAGAGGGCTCTGAGTGCCGCCTCTGGCACCCATGCCATAGGTTCGCCACCACTATTTCTATTCCCTTTGTGGGTGCTTGACAAAACTCAGGCTGGTTTGGTCTTCCAGTGGGAAAAAGGGTGGGATTTGATTGGATCCCCTCAGTTCTGTTAGGTTGGTTTGGACGCACACCAGAACAGAACAAGCCCAAAACTTTCTCACAAACTGGATATGAAGATGGAGATTATTCCAGGATTTGGATTATGTCCAGCTTCAGAGTCACTCAGTGACTTCAAAAGCAGCACCCAATGAGGCAGGTCAGCCCACAACCCCCACATGGAAAGAAGGGGTACGGTTTCTGTTCTGGGGGTCTACCAAGGTCTTTTGAAGTGTAGTGCCACAGAGACAGGCTGGAGCTGGGGAGAAAGGAGACCAAAAACGGTTTATAACCTTATGGTGGAAGTCAAGTGTGTAATGCACAGGCACAACGAACAGCCTACATATTAGGAGAGGATTTGGTGAACCTCCAGGCTATGGCACTGTTATCAAACTAGCAACAAGGTATGAATACCTACTTGCTCCTGTAGTTCACTTGCAGAATTCACTTATTCCCATGGGATCACTGGGAAATAACCCTCTTTGATTAGGTGTGAGTTTCAGTTTGAAATAATGTGCCAATCAATACTAGTACTGAAGTATTTTAAGTTTGCTTTGAAGGCCTCCTTATGTTTTTGAATTTTATCTGAATAGCCCCCATTCCTGCTGGGTTGCCTGTTTTGGAAAAAGGGATTAGCCTATTAGGTTATCTTTTACTGAAATCTATTCCCCTCCTTCTCTCATTCTACTATCTTAATAGCTTAATTGCTTCTGCTTTTCTTTGTTTCAGCTCCAGATTCATGGAAAATGAGAGATTGTCTCTTCTGTTGACCCTTCAATCTACAGATGCCCCAAAGAGGGGTAGGCAACCTTGGCTCTTTTATGACTCGTGGACTTCAACTCCCAGAATTCCTGAGCCAGCACGGCTCAGCTTGGAAACCTCATCCTTTCCCCTCAGCATGGCTGGCTCAGGAATTCTGGGAGTTGAAGTCCATGAGTCATAAAAGAGCCAAGGTTGCCTACCCCTGCCCCAAAGGAACAGTGGTAGGGGAAAGACTTCAGTGCAAGATTTTTTCTTCCAGGTAGCTAGATTTTTCTCAACAGAGGACTCTGGCTGGCTGAAGTCCTTGTGGTTAGTGTTAGTGTTAAGAGTACCAACTAAATAGTTATTACCTCAATCAATCAATCAATCAATCTTTATTACGGTCACAGACTGGCAAATAAAAGCATTAAAACAATAATTAATAGTAAAAAATAAAAATGAAAGACGGGCAGGATAATTTATTGTAATTGGTGGTGGATTAACAGTGGGCAGTTAAAGTTTGCTTACTTTTACATACAGTATAACAGAATTTTATCCCACATTCAGGGAAGCTACTTTATACCGATCTGGTAACAGTAGTTGCATGTAAAAAAGATCATCATTTCTCGGATATTTTATCAGGTAAGGTGTTATGAATGGAGTCTGGGAGTCCTTACCGAACATGCAGTATAGTAGGACATGAGAGTACTAGCTCAATGAGCATTCAGACATAGAATTAGGATACAGCAAGGATTTGCTGCTCTTCTGATGGTAAACTTAAAAGGCCCATCTCATCTGTCCTGGCCCCAGACAATGCCACTTAACATAGCTAGAGGTTCTTTGAGAGGGAAAACCTGAGTGCAGAGTATTTATTTTTTTCCTTCCAAAATATGTTCCTCTTTTGTGATACTCACACAGAGTTGAATAGATATGCCCGTCCTTGGCTTCCTTGAAAAGACTGTAACCAAAAAGGAGAAAGGGGCACAGATCAAAAACAAAATACTTTCCTGTCCCTATTAAACAAATGCCTACCACTAACCCTGAATACTTTCCACAGTTATTTCGCCTCCTGCCACTCTGTCTCCATGGTTCTCCCCCATCACACACACAACCTTGGGAACCCAAATCTCAGGAGCAGCGTTCAGCCTGTCTCAAGCTGTTTTTATCATCTTCTGTAGACTTTGGTTCTAGACCAGCTGCTTATCTTCCTCTCCCGCTTGGCTGATGGCAAGCAGCCAGAGGCCATCTCTTCCCCGTTTCCTTGTTTATTCTCTAGTTTGCTTTGGAACCCATGAAACAGAATTTAATGATTAATCAGCCACAGCTGAGACCTGTTGCCCTTGTAAGCTCTTGAGAACTGGGGTGGAGGTGGCTGACAAGCCCAGGCAGGCACCTCTGAAAGAACTCATTGCCCTCTGTAAATACCCCCCCCCTTCTCCTCGTGCCTTCTTCTAGTCCAGTGGTTCTCAACCTTTTCAATGCCGCGACCCCCAACCAGTCGTAAGTCGAGGACTAAACCGGTCGTAAGTCGAGGACTAAACCGGTCATAAGTCGAGGACTAAACCGGTCGTAAGTCGAGGACTACCCAACCGGTCCTAAGTCGAGGACTTTCCCTGCCCGGGAGCGCCACGCATGCGTGGTTCCGCGTCCTGCACTGGCCGAGGCGTAGCTGGCAAGCGGCAGAGACGGAGCAGGCCAACCACCAGCTGGCCCAGCCCAAGGGCGGTAAGGCACCCGCCGGAAAAGGGGAAAAAAATGGCGGACAGCCTTGCTTGGCGACCCCCATGAAATGGTCGATCGACCCCAAATGGGTTGAGAACCGCTGTTCTAGTCCCAAATAATTTCCCATCTTTTATTGCTCAGAAATTCTGCAGCCTCTGGAAGGTGTCTCTGGAAAGAGACATAGATGTTGCAATTGGCTGCTGCTGCTGCTGCTTGGAGGCCCACCCTCCCCTTCTTTGCCTGTTTTTAACTGCATTATTCCCAGAGGAGAAACTTCTAGCTCTAAATTATGGTTTGCTTGGGAGGTGCTGATTTCTCCCATAAACCATACCGGCCAGAGTTTGGCTTGCTTAATTCTATACTAATTATAATCTATATTCCCAGGCCTCTGTATTTAACTTACAACATTAATATTGCTATGTTAGGGTAAACATATTTAAGATATTATTTGACACTGGTCCTGAAATGACTTACAGGTAGTCCTCGGTTTACGACCACAATTGCAATTACTGTAGGGAATTACTGTGGCTGTTAAGTGAAGCATGTGATTGTTAAGCGAGTCTGGCTTCCCCCATTGACTTTGCTTGCCAGAAGCTGGCTGGAAAGGCTGCAAATGGCGATCACATGACCTGGGATGCTGCAGCCATCATAAATACATGCTAGTTGTCAAGCATTCAAATTCTGATCACCTGACCATGGGGATGCTGCAGTAGTTGTCACTGCGAGGTTCAATTGTAAACCACTTTTTTTCAGTGCTGCTGTAAACAAATGGTTGTAAAATGAGGACTACCTGTACTTACTTGTTAGAGGACTGACAAATTTTTAAAGGAACACAGAAAATTCACAGTAGTAATTTTACATTGGGGTATAAGAAAATATAGCTGTCCTTTCTCTGTTGCCCTTCCGTATTACATTCTCCTTTGGCAATTATGGTTTTCTTTTTCTTTTAAATGAGCTAACCAAGGAGCAGCAACCTCTTTCCCTTGGATGTTGTGATCTTCTCTAGAGGAGTGTACCAGGGTTATCTCATTCCCTTTTTTGTACCTTGGAGATGAGGTCGTCGTGATTAGCCAGGTGGGCCCGGCAATGCACACAACTGTAGCGACGGTGACAGTTGTCCAGATAGGCCTGAAAAGTTTTGGGTTTGGACAGCCTCACCATTGTGGTGGGAGTCACACCAGGAGAAAAGCTGCAGGAGAGTTGTGGAGAACTAGACAGCTCCTGGAGGAGATGCTGGGGGGGGCACAGATGAAAGCCCTAAAAAAAGAGGAAGAGGCAGATCACCAACCTACAGAGAACCCATATCAGAAGGGATAGCTTACAGACCTAGAGTCAGAATGCCAAGATTTTGCTTCTTAGCTCTGGGAACTGGCCAGGTTTTGTGTAACCAGTCTGGTATCTAAACAAAAACAATACCACGTGGTGCTTTCCTTCCCTCCCTCCCTCCCTCCCTCGTGCTTTCCCTCCCTCCCTTGGCAGCTTCTTGGAGACTCAGCCTGTAATTAACCCCAGGATGTAGGTCACAGCTGATCATCCTTTGATGAAAGAAAACTACCTTAGGAATCAGGCTTTAACTTTCCAAGCCACCCTTCCAGTTAATTTCAGGTTAGGTCTTCCTAGTACAGTTTGGCCAGTTTTAAGACTTGTGGACTTCAACTCCCAAAATTCCTCAGCCTCGCTGTAAACTCTAGACTTTTCTTATAAAATCAGCTTTCTGTTTTCTTTATTCTATCAGATTGTGCACATAACTGTCAGGTACTATAACCAGCCACATATCCCAAACCTATGAGCAGTTTTCACTTTTGCAGCATGGGCCTTTGTTCAGAGATATATTTTTTAATCCCACCTTTATTTTTATAAATAGTTCAAGGTCTCAAGGTATGTCTGGCCTCAGATCATTTCTGTTTATTTGTCTCTCACCTTTACTGCTATTACAAATAACTCATGGCAGCAAACATATCCAACACAGAGAACTGAGGAGAAACTTCCTGACAGTTAGAACAATTAACCAGTGGAACAACCTGCCTCCAGAAGCGGTGAATGCTCCAACACTGGAAATTTTTAAGAAGAGACTGGACAGCCATTTATCCAAAATGGTATAGGTAGGGTTTCCTGCCTGAGCAGGGGGTTGGACTAGATGACCTCCAAGGTCCCTTCCAACTTCATTATTATTATTATTATTATTATTATTATTATTATTATTATTATTATTATTATTATTATTATTATTATTATTATTATTATTATTATTATGGATCATCGCACAGTCAGCCAGATGTTCAGACTGGATCTGGCATTTTGTCTACCTATCGAGTCCTTACCCAGGACCTGGGATAGGCAGATGTGGATGCTTGATGGTATTACAGATATCGTCACAGGATGGAAGCAGTTCCTAGTAAGGCTGCCTTTTGCAATTGACTAATAGCGAATTTGTCAATGCCAATGGTGTTCAAGTGGTTCTCCCGTTGTTTTCGGATTGCATCCAAGGCGCCTATTACTATTGGTACTACCCTTGCTTGCTTTTGCCACAGTCTTTCTATTATTATTATTATTATTATTATTATTATTATTATTATTATTATTATTATTATTATTACATATTCCTCCTATTTTCTTCAGAGCAACAGCCCTGTGAGGTGGGCAGGGCTGAGAGTGACTGACCCAGAGCCACCCAACTGATTTTCATGCCTAAAGTGGGACTAGAATTCACAGTCTCCTAGTTTCTAGCTGGGTGCCTTTACCACTAGACCAGTGGTGGCGAACCTATGGCCCGTGTGCCAGAGGCGACACTCAGAGCCTTCTCTGTGGGCACGCGCACTATGCCCCGAAGATGGCAACCATTCTTCTTCAACCAGCCGCCCACTAACTTGCCGAAGTCCCACATGGCCGGATGCATCCCAGCACCCATGCGCTCGCTGGCCTCTGTGTGCAGGGGCCGATGGTGTCAGGCAGCAGCCGCCCCGGCCTCACCTTGCCCTGTGACAATGGCACCTCCGCCCTACCTCGCCTTACCCTCACCTCACCCAGCAGGACGAGCCTCCTGCCCACCACCCCATCTATCAGAGACCCCCTGGATCTCCCCCAACCCTGCCTGGCCCCCACAGGCATCCCTCCCCACAGGCAACATCAAGGTGATCACGGCCACCTTGTCCACACCCACCCAATCTGCCATGACCACAGCCATGTCCACCCAGTGGGCCACGCCTACCTGGCACCCAGCGATAAATAAGTGGGTTTTGGGTTGCAGTTTAGGCACTCGGTCTCTAAAAGGTTCGCCATCACTGCACTAGACCAAACTGGCAACTGCCATCTGCTTGGTTGAGAGGGAAGGGAAAGTCAAGACAGAAAGTAGCAAAGTCTAGAAAGCATACTTGGTGGTGACAGACATCAACAGCTTGTCACAGAATAGCAGGCAACCTCAGGAGTTGTGAAATGATGGAGGGATCTTCTGCTAAGCCAAGAAGAAGGCAGAAGGAATCTAGAGGAATTATGTTACATGATGGCAAGGGGCAGCTTCAAAGAAACACGACAAAGGGCTTGGAGAATTGTGTGGCACTTAAGTGCAGCCAAACCAGAGGCATTGGAGACATAGAATAAGGCACAACATGAGACAGACAGCTAGCTGGAGAAGAATGGGGTAGACACAAAGCAGCCTTGAAGATGAGAGAAGAGGAGGAGCAGAGCGAGGGGATTGCTAGAAAATACAGTGGGCTAAACCAATCAGCTGGAGAGGTATTTGAGGGGAGGCGGGCAAGAGGAAAATCTCTGGAAGGAAGTACGGAGGCTTGGTTTTCAAAGGGGGTGGGTAGAGTGGTTGTCTGGAACCTCATGGTGGAGGAGGAGAAAGGTGATTCCTTCAAAGGGAAGCAAACCAGCCAGTCGGGCAGGCAAGGAAATGCTGAGCCAGGAAAAATGTTGCCCAAGACTCCATACATCTCCCCGGAAGCTGGATTTGTGCTTTGACTTTTTTTAGAGAAGATCTTAGCATTTGGGAGAACTTAAAGATCCAACTTAATCCCCCTCCCGTTCCCCCCCCTCTTCCTCCTAAGCTAGCTTTAAACTTAAAGCAAGTTATGAATATCTACCCTGCAGGCAAACATGCAACCTCTGCTTTTCCATGTGTGGCCATGGCGTAGAGGTTTTTTATTCCCCCATCTTTTTTATATTTCCCCATAATTTCTTGAAGAATCTACACTGAACACAGAAATTACTGGTAGGCTAAGGAAAGAGAGGAATATAACAAGGGATGAACATGAGGAATAACTAGACAGGAGAAATAAAGGAAGAAGTGAAAGGAAGGAAACAAAGAAGGAAGTGGTTTTTTAAAAAAAAAAATACAGTTCCTTTATTTTTTAAAAAAGGATTTGTTTACAACTTTGAAAAAAGATTTTAAAAAAATCTTTAATGTCATCGCATTATTTGCTCTCAACATATATATATATATATATATATATATATATATATATATATATATATATATATATATGCGCTATCAAAGTTCCCAAGGAACTGTAACAAAAAATATTGTTCTTCTAAATAAATTACGTATTTGCCAGTAACAGTTGCAACTGAGATTCTCTTCTAAACAATATCCAAGACAGTCTTAAGAAAGAACAGAAACATACTAGCCATAACTAATAGGGAGTTTAATTGTTTACCAGCAATTTATTAATTGCTTTTCTACTAGATGTGGACAGGAAATATGTATTTGTTTTTGTCTGAACACCAAATGAACTGGACCATGTAATTCAAATACTATCTTTTGCACATTTATTTTAGAAGATAACAAGGCTTTTTTAAATATGATAAGGAAAATATATACCAGGTATAAGGAAGGATTTTCTTAAGCTACGGTAATTTGTTTTATACGTGAGGCCTATAAATAAGCATTGAGCTTATCTGACTTTAATCTCTGTTTTGATAATGGAAAAGATGATTATTGCCATGTTATATTGTGCTCTAAGAACAATTTACTTATTTGTTTATATATAGCAATTCAACTCTGGTATAGCAAGTAAGAAATAAATGGGCATGATAAGATATTGAAATGATTTGAACCTCAAGAAAATATAGTGGATCTGATATATCAAATACAGGGTGCCTGTAGAAACACACCCAGAAATAGGCTATTGGGGACCCTTTAACGAGAGAAAAATAAGAATAGAGAAAGACATGAGACAAGCTGAAGTATCTTGGTTTTCTTTTATTATAACAATCATGTGCACTTTATATTTACTTATTTTATAACTGTTAAACAGGAAGCTTGAAATATACATGTAGAAAAAGAGGAGGTTGATATAGAGGGTGGGGACAGTTGATGACAGGGCTGGGATGACAGTCATAAACTGAAAATTGTGTTTGTGTTCTCTGCCAGGGGCAAATGGGAAGATTTTTACTTCGAGATCAGAAGGGGACAGTTGTTGAGTAATAGGCCAAATTTTATATTTCCATATAAATTGTAGGACCACTCATCCAAACATTTATTTCTGTTTATTAAAAACTTCCTGACGTGAACTTTTAGAATAAGAAAAAAGGATATGGAAAGGAAAGTTGGAGGTGCAAACCACCCCCCTCCTTCTACTAAAACTTTTGAAAAATAGCAGCACTGCAAACTGGAAAAATTAAATTCCGGTGACTGATGGACAGAGAAAGGAGAGAGAACTACTTGCTCAGAGAGAGACTAAGGGAGGGTTAAAACCAGTTTTCATAAACAGTTCCGTCGTTTGGCTACCAATCGATATTCTGCTGGAAACTACCCTCTAAGGACAAAAACGCAACCCCGGGACTGCTCAATAGATAAAAGATGCCACCTGATCCCGAATTAGAGACTCTTGAAAACGGATCCCTCTCTATAGCATTTCCTGTGGGATTAGAGGAGGCGCGGACCATCGCGAGGGGAAGGAGATTAACCCCCCTGCTGAAATAACAAAGGGAACATGAGGTTATCACAGGAAATAGGCTCTCTCGGCGTGGTCAGGATGAGTGCAATAATTGGAATCCTCTGAAAAGGATCCACTGGAATCCTTTTCCTCCCTCTTCGTTCTGATAGCTGGAGATCCCCCTTTTGAGGCGGGGTCAGCGGGTCGCTGGAAATCGGCGCCCACAAACATCCACTACCTTCCCCTCCCTTCATTCCTGCAGGAGGACATAAAGACGCCGTGCGTGTTTCTATATACACGGAGAGACAGACACGCACCGCGAGCCTTTCGTGGGGGAGAACGCGTCCACGGACGCCGCCGTTTCCCTTAAGCCCTTCCCCCATCTCACCTGTCCGAAGAGCAACGGCGAAGCGCCCCCGCGTCGGATGGTGCCTCGATGCGGCTTTTGGGGAGGGGAGTCACCCCGCCGACAGACCCGCAGCCCCCCGCGAAGTGCTCCAGCTGGGAGTCTAGACTTCCTCTTGTTTACAAACCCAGGCTGTGAAACAAAGGTGTCTCCGCCCCCTTTCCCCCCTCCCTCCTCCTTTCTGCGGGCTTCCCCCTCCGCTCCTTCCTCTTTCCGCCCAGCCAATCGGGGCGGCTATGCAAATAAACTGCAGAGCTGATAAAAGGGGAGGGGACACGCGCGGGGAGGCCGCGCTTGATTTGGCACGGAGTGGGGGCGGGGCGCGGCGCGGCGAGGCCGTCGGGAGAGATGGCGTGGCTGGGAGGCGCGAGGCGCGTGGGCCGGCCCTGAAAGCGACGGGCCTCTGGGCGCGTGCAGAGTGCCTGGCGCGGGGAACTTTTTTTTCTTTGGAAACGATGTCTAGAGCAGAGCCCTTCAACCTTTTCGCCCATTGTACCACTTTTAGGATATGGCAACATCCGAGTACCACCAGTCGCCTAGCAAGGTGTCAAAAACTTGACCAAAAAAAGGAAAAAAGTGATGAAGTACAGGTAGTCCTCGACTTACAACAGTTCACTTAGTGACTGTTCGAAGTTAGAATAGCACTGAAAAAAAGTGCCCCCCAAGGCACAGCCAAGCAAGACGCCTGCCTGCCCACCCGGCGGCGTTCTTCCTCCTGTCCGAGGTTTTCATTGTTGTGAGCATTTCTGTTGAGGATTGGCAGTGGGGGTGGGGTGGGGGGTGTTTGGTTTTTATTCCCCCCCCCCGTCTGCTGGGTGGTTGCAGCAAGTTTTGGTCACTTCACATGACCCTGGGACACTGTGACCGTCATAAATATGAATCAGTTGCCAAGCATCTGAATGTAAATCACAAGACCCTGGAGATGGTGCAACATTTCAGCTGATCGGCGCTTCTTCTGGGCTCAGCAGAAGCACCAGGATCAGTGCTGAGCTCCAGCTGGAACCTGGTGTTGATCCTGGCGCTTTCACTGAGCCCTGACAGCCCTGCAGCTCCAGCCGTCTCTCGCTCAGGCTTGTGTGGTGCTGCCACCAGTTCAGCTCATTCCCCTCCCCGGCTACCACTTTTCTAGGATGGTCGCGTACCACCTGCCAGGTGCCAATGTACCACAGGTGGTACCCGTACCACTGGTTGAAAACCCTTGGTCTAGACTCAGGCATAGTTGGGGAGGTTAGTCTTTTTTACAGCGAAAGTGGCATCTTGTAAATGGCACTAATACGCTTTAATACGCTTCCATGCCTGGCAGATTTTTGTACTTATGAAACAGAGGATCCGGCAAATAAGTCGATGCTGAAATTGACCTTTCTGCTGGTAATAATGCTTTTTAAAATTCCGGATATTAAAATGTAAACAATGTAAACACCATCATCACTATAGTAGAAGTTCTTCCCCCAAGGCAGACCACATATTTTATCTTATGGGGTTGTCTTATTAAATCCAGGAGTTGCAGACTCTACATTCCAGTAAAAAGGAGGTGGGGGGAATTGTATATCGTGGCATCTGAACAATTATTCTGTGCTTGGGTATTTTGGAAAACCACTGCAAGGAAACTATTGATCTCGGAGGGGAAGGTGGTCATTGTTCACTTCCTCATTGTGAGTCAGGGTTAGATGTCAGGAGGAAGGAAATTGTCTGGCATGCCTGCAACAAAGTAGACTAGATTAAAGTTTTATAGTTGAGCAGGATCTGAATCTGCATATAATGAGTTCAGTTCCACAAGTTGGCTAATACCAGAAAAATAACCATGTTGCAGTGAAACCAAGTCCAGTGTTGCTGATTAGATTAATATATGCATTTTTGGCATCAGTTGTGATGGCCACAATCTGTTTTATCAGCTGCATAAAATGACATTTTAAAAAGTGGATAGGCAGCTTATGACCAGGGTCAGTTTGGTCTAGTGGTTAAGACACAAGGCTAGAAACCCAACAGACCATGAGATCTAGTCCCTCCTTAGACATAAAAGCCAGTTGGATGATCCTGGGCCAATCGCGCTCTCTTACTGCAGCCCACCTCACAGGGTTATTGTTGTGGGGAAGATAGAAGGAAGAAAGTGTGTTGGATATGTTTGCTGCCTTGAGTTATTTGTAAAAGTAATAAGGGTGAGATGCAAATAAACAAAAATGACCTGAGTCCAGATAGAGAAACAATGTGTTTTACCCATCTCCAGCCTAAGATAGAACACAGCACATCATAATACTATGCAAAACATGAATGAACGCCCATTTATCAAGAGACAACATGATCTAATCAGCATGGCTGTAACCTTTGTCTAACCAGCAACTGCTGATTCTGGCACAGAGGAAGATAGATATTGTACATTCTGCAATTATCTTGTCCTTGTCCTTGGATTTGATAAGATTGACTTTGGTTAAGGAAATCCAGTGGTTTCCTTTTACTCTAATAAAAGTCTTTGTCAATGTGGTTCTTTTTAATTGGCTTCCACAGAAGCCAAAAACCTTGCAGCTTTTTTGAGAGATTTTATATATGACCCCACTTTGTCAGTTGGATTCTATGTGCTACATTGATATGCTTGAAATGAAGTAGGATGGGAGATAGAAATGAATTTACTTGCTAAGATAGCTGCAGACCTGCACATACGCAGCTTGTATGATTGTGGGTGTTTTCCAAGTTGTTGCCTTTGCCTTGTATTGTTTACTTGGCTTAACTGCAGCCAGCTCTAGCAAATATTTGAAAGGGAGTGTCCCCTAGTGGTTAGGAGTGGGAAGACCTGGGTACCAATTCCCACTCAGCTATGCAGCTTCTTCAGAAAACTTTGATTTTTACTTCTCATTCTAAAACACACCCAGAGTAGGTTTGGACAGAAGAGATTGAAGAGACTGGACAGCCATCTATCTGTAATAGGGTTACAGAGGGTTAGACTAGAAGATGTCCAAAGTTTCTTCCAATTTTGTTATTCTGTATTCTGCTTGTGAGAATAGCTCTGGATATATGACAAAGAGACCCAAGTCTTCAAACCAAGAGAAAAAGGACGATAAAACTATGTATTTAAGATTGATTCTATTTATTGTCCAAATAGTGGACAATAGTGGTGGTGAACCTATGGCATGCATGCCTGAGGCGGCACTCGGAGCCCTCTCTGTGGGCACACGTGCCATTGCCCCAGCCTCGCCTCCCCCCACGACCCTATCCTTACCAGCAGCCCCCCTAGAGGAGAGTTGCCCCCGAGCGTAGCCCACATGGAGCAGCGCAGCCAAGGACATGGCAGCCAGGCAGCGTAGAGAAGACTCTGCCCTCACGCCCCATCCCACACAGTTGATGCTGCGGGGTGCAGGCAGAGGGCGTGGCCGCCATAGCACTGCTGAGCTGCCTGAGTGATCTGCGGCGGGCCCTAGAGGAGGTGAGTGGCCCTGTGGGCAGGCGGGGTGGGGGCGGGGCAGGGCAGGGGATGGAGTGGGGCAGGGCCAGTTTTTGGGCACTCGGTCTCTAAAAGGTTCGCCATCACTGAAATAGTACGATGTGAACTATTATTCATATCTATGTGATTTCTAAGAGTCAACACCAACTTGATAACACTTGAGTAAATCATAATCAGATTGGAAGGGATGATGTACAGTAGAGGCTCCCAATCTTGGCAATTTTAAGTCTTATGGACTTCAACTCCCAGAATTCCGCAGCCAGCCATGCCAGCTGGTGAATTCTGGGAGTTGAAGTCCGTAAGTTTTAAAGTTGCCAAGGTTGGATATCCCTGATGTACAGTATTGACTAAACCAAATTGGAGACCAGAATTTAAACCAGGGGTAGTCAACCTTGGCTCTTTTATGACTCGTGGACTTCAACTCCCAGAATTCCTGAGCCAGCATGGCTGGCTCAGGAATTCTGGGAGTTGAAGTCCACGAGTCATAAAAGAGCCAAGATTGACTACCCCTGATTTAAACGATATCCCCATGATTTCTCTCCAGGTACATGAGCCTCCCACCCTTCTGCTAGGCAACAATTCTAGGGATAAGAAGTTTGATTGTAGTGTACTTCTGCCACAATTATATCTATAATTCCCTTCCCCTTTGGGTGGTGACCAATTTTCTACAATTTTGCACCAACATAGTACAGTATAGTGTAGCTTCTTAGGACAAATACTTTGATCAGAGAAAAGGCAATTGATATTGACTCAGACTATTGTCACCTAAAGGATATGTTATATAGTGAAATGAATGATAATTATGGGGACCTTAATTTTTGCAGTACAATTAATTTGAATTGGGACTTAGCTGGCAAAACCTGTTTTTTAGTGTTAGGGCTTAGCCAAGGAACATCTTAGCAAATAATATGGAGTAAGTCTCTGGCCACATGTGAATTCTATTACCATTCTGTAATTGGCTTACCATTCTGATTTGTGGAATGTAAAAGTAAGAGCACTGGTACCATGAGTGTAAAACCTATGCATGGAGGTTAACATAATGCCACCGCTTGGTTTAAAAAGATTTGCAGCTATAGCTGCCATTGTTTCTGATTATTGGTCCTGCTGGCTTAGGCTGATGGGAATTAATGTCCAACAATATCTGGAGACTCACTGATTCCATATTTGTGCTCTAGAAAAAAATCTGTGGAAAGTATTTGACAATTTAAAAAATCACATCATTGTGCCACGTTAATTTTAATGCTTTTAGTGTCTTTATAATTATGTTTTTACACCAGGGGTCTTCAAACTTGGCCCTTTTATGACTTGTGGACTTCAACTCCCAGAATTCCTCAGCCAGCATGCCTGGCTGAGGAATTCTGGGAGTTGAAGTCCACAAGTCATAAAAGGGCCAGGTTTGAAGATCCCAGTTTTACACTATTGTAAGCCTCCCAGAGTCACTTAGGACAGTGAGATAGATGGTATATACAGGTAGTCCTTGACTTACAACCATTCTTTTAGTGACCATCCAAAGTTACAGAGGCACTGAAAAAGTGACTTATGACTGCTTTCATACTTATGTTGCAGCATCCTCATGGTCACATGATCAAAATTCGGATGCTTGGCAATTAGCATGTTTTCACGACGGTTGTGGCATCCCAGAGTCGTGGGAGGATCCCCTTTTTGTGACTTTCTCACAAGCAAAGTCAATGGAGAAGCTAGATTCACTTAACAATCGTGTTGCTAACTTAACAACTGCATGGTTCGTTTAATAACTGTGGCAACAAAGCTTGTAAAATGGGGCAAAATTCTCCTAATGATTGTATTGCTTAGCCACAGTAATTTTGGGCTCCACTGAGGACGTAAGTCAAGCACTTTTGTAAATCAAATAAATGTTCAGAGGAAGAAGAAATGTCAGTCGATGCAAGCTGAACTTATTTGGCCAGCCTCCAGCCAGCAGACTTGATGGTTAGGAAGAATCCATGCTGGATTAATGTTAGCACAATAATTTTCTTTATGGAAGCTTTCCGTGATTCTGCATGTTGCATCAGACCCATAGGATTTCAATTTTTTTATTTTTTAAAAAAACCCTAATATTCTTATGCTGAAGATCTCTCAAGTATGTGGAGTGACGCTGCTGAGAGTACAGCGAGGAGAAAACCAGAGCTGTACATTGAATCAACTGCATTTTACTATTCTGCATTGATTATTTCTTCTCCTGCTTGAGCAGGGGGCTGGACTAGAAGACCTCCAAGGTCCCTTCCAGCTCTATTCTATTTATCTATTAAATTTATATGCCGCCCATCTCACCAGTAAGATGATCCTGGGAGGCTTACAATAGGAAAAAGATACATATGAAAACAATTAAAATTGAGAAGTGTTAAAAACTAAAACCAAGGGGATGGATAGCAGGGGGATGAGTTCTTCTTACTACAACAAGCACCTGTGGAACCCCAAGCCACCTGGCAAAATCAGGTTTTAAGGACCTGGAAGGTGGGAGCAGAACTCACTTCTGGTGGTAGAATATTTCACTGGGTGGGGGCTACAGCAGAAAAGGCTCTCCTCTTTGACCTTGTCAGCTGTAACTCGAATACTTTTCAAGAGTAACCCCATATAGAATCAGTATGCTGCAGTAATTGCATTCGCATTTATGCTAAACTCCAGAACTTAATCCACGGTGGCTTGGCTTGACAACAATGTACCAACAAAACACTGGACTTGGACATTCCTGTACAGGTAGTCCTCGAGTTAGGACCACAATTGAGCCCAAATTTCTGTCGCTAAGCAAGACAGTTAAGTGAATTCGGTCTCATTTTACAACCTTTCTTGCCACGGTTGTTAAGTAAATCATTGCAGTTATTAAATTAGCAACACGGTTGTTAAGTGAATCTGGCTTCCCCATTGACTTTGCTTGTCAGAAGGTTGCAAAAGGCGACCCCGGGACACTGCAACCATCATAAATATGAGTCAGTTGCCAAGCGTCTCAATTTTGATCACATGACCTGTAAATATGAAAAAACTCTTCTTTTTTCAGTGCCATTATATCTTTAAATGGTCACTCAATGAATTGTTTGTAAGGCGAGGACTACATGCAGTGGGAACAAATGTAGCAGAGATCATGTGAGCCTGCATTGCTCTTTCAAAACATTTCAGCATCATTCCTACATCTCACAGAATACTAGGAAGACGTTGGCCTTAAGAGGAGGATTCAAAGATGGTAACCCAAGCGGAAGGCACATCAGGAATAGCTTAGAGCTGGAGTCCTCAACCTTGGCAACTTTAAGACTTGTGGACTTCAACTCCCAGAATTCCTCAGCCAGCAAAGCTGGCTGAGGAATTCTGGGAGTTGAAGTCCACAAGTCTTAAAGTTGCCAAGGTTGAGGACCCCTGGCTTAGAGTACCAGGAATGTGCCCAGGAAGAGTGGGGACTGAGGGCAAATTAATCATCTAGGAGAACTTGTTGGCCCTCCTATTTTTTTTTTTTTTTTGCATCCATGCCAACAATCACAGAAAGAAAAGGAAAATAGGTCTAAGAAAGGCCACAGATCAAATTCCACCACCGATTTACTCGTTCTTAGAGCACACATCCCTCCTTTATCTTATACAGTATAGCATGGAAATGAGGCCATCTCTCACTTCCCTGGCCACCATTAAAATATTTGGCTAGAACATTAGAACAACCTGATGTTGTGCCAAGGACTTAAAGTTGGCATTTCTTGCCAAATCCTTACAGCTGATCTTTCTTTTGTGGGACTTGTCTCTTTGTTTGCATACCTGCTGTTGAAACAGTGAGAAATGTCTGGGAGAGCATAAAGGTTGCCTTGATACCTTGTCATCTACCTCCAAGAATTTAATGCTGAGTTAAGTTGTTGTTCTCCTCTGACAACTAAAGCTTCTAGTACAGTAGTAGAGGGATGGGTAGCTTGTGATTTTAGACCTTGGCAACTTTAAGATGGGTGGAATTCAAGTCCCAGAATTCCCTAGCCAGATCTTCAGCTGATTTCAAGAGCCTTCCTCAAGCCAATTTTAAGTGTAGGTTTCTACATGTAGGTTTCTACAGGAGGGGATTTTAAAAGGAAAAAAATAATCAAGAAAATGGCTGTGACTGCATGATCAAAGCCCACCGCTTTTTAATGTGAATTGTGCACATGGTGAAAGGGATGGGGCTACAGTTGTGTGGGCGTGGCCACCACATTGATTCTCCATCCATTTAGATGTAGAATATTCCCCAGAATATCCCTCAGAATATTCCCCAATCTCACAAGACATAAAAAGATGATAAACATACTAAAGGAAAAAGAAACAAGGGGGTGATAATGATGGTCCTGAAATCACCCCCCTGTTCCCTTCAGTTGTTTATTTATTATATTTTTATCCCGAATTTATTACTTTATGATAATTCAAGGCAGTGAACCTACTTAATACTCCTCCCTCCTATTTTCCCTGTGACAACAGCCCTGTGAGGTGGTTTGGGGTGGGAGAGTGACTGGCCCAAAGTCATCCAGCTCGCTTTCATGCCTAAAGCAGGACTAGAACTCATAATCTCTTGGTGATTGGCCAAAAGTCACCCATTCGGCTTTTATCTAAGGTGAGACTACAAATCACAGTCTCCTGGTTTCTAGGCCACCATCTTAACACACCACACACCAGGGGTCTTCAAACTTGGCTCTTCAAACACACCACACACCAGGGGTCTTCAAACTTGGCTCTTTTATGACTTGTGGACTTCAACTCCCAGAATTCCTCAGCCAGGCATTACCTGGCTGAGGAATTCTGGGAGTTGAAGTCCACAAGTCATAAAAGGGCCAAGTTTGAGGACCCCTGCACTACACCAAACTAACATTGTGGCCTATTTATTACAAAGGAAGCACTCCCCTCAGGAGAAAAAGAAAGTTGATCATTCTTCACCAAGTGCTTTTTTATCTTTATTTGTTTTGCTGAGTGTTAATAAGAGAATTGTCCTCCCCCTTTGTCTTTTTCTACTGATTATTCAGGAGGTGAATAATGAAAATGTCAGTGTTCTACAAGCAGGATTGTAGCAAAACAATAGCCTCGCATTATCTTCAGTCCCTTGCTTCAGTATGTAATATGTTAGTCAGCTACTGAAAATGCCCCACACCGGTAACAAAATTGTTATTTTTTTTTTCAAAATTACAGCATACACAGGTAAAATACACTTTGAGCTTCCTATCTTTTACATTCATCTCCTTTTTCTCTCTCCATTCCCCACCAGAAATGTCAACGATGATTCTAAAATAGCGTAACAATTTATGCAAGGGAAGGTGGTGGCGGGTGAGCATTCAGGTAATGTCGAAGGAGAGTTGGGTAGTCAGTCATGATTCCGGAGACTCCATAGCTAAAGGCTTCTTCAAACTCTTTTTCTTCATTCAAAACCCAAAGAAGAACCTATATAGAAAGAGGAAAAGGGAAAAATACAATCACAGAACGCAAACCCTGGAAATAAAACGACAAAAGCCAAGGCAGTACCAAGAGTAAGAGGTGCCTTTGCTGCAATCCCAAAATTTCTGGAGCAACTCTTGAACACCATTGATATTGACAAAATAACCATCGGTCAGTTGCATGAGGCAGCTTTACTTGGAAGATCCTGCCCTGAGGTTTTTAACGCCACCAAACAACTATAATATAGATAGACCTCGAACTTACAACAGTTCGTTGCGACCGTTCGAAGTTATAACGGCAGTGGAAAAGTGACTTACGATCGTTTTTCACACATACGACTGTTGCAGCGTCCCTATGGTCATGTAATCAAAATTCAGACGCTTGGCAACTGACTCATATTTATGACCATTGCCGTGTCATGTGATCCCCTTTTGTGACCTGACAAGCAATGGGGAAGCCAGATTCACTTAACAGCCTTGTTAGTAACTTAACAACCGCAATGATCCACTTAATAACTGTGGCAAGAAAGATTGTAAAATGGGGTAAAACTCACTTAACAAATGTCTCATTTGACAACAGAAATGTTGGGCTCAATTATCGTAAGTCAAGGGCTACCTGTATCTGCCTATCCTAAGTTCTTGCCAAATCCAGTCTAAACATCTGGCTGACTCTGCAATCAACCATAATAATAACGCAGATAGTCCTTGAGCTACAACCACAATTGGGACCACAATTTCTCTTGCTGAGCCAGACAGTTGTTAAGGGAATTGTGCCCGATTTTTGCTATAATTGTTAACCAAATTACTGCAGTTGTTAATTGAATCCTGTCATCATTAAGCAAATCCAGTTTCCCCCTTTGACTTCCCTTGTCAGAAGCCAGCTTGGAAGGTCACACGTAGCAATCACATGATCTCAGGATGCCTGCCACCACTGTAAATACATGCCAGTTGCTAAGCACCTGAATTTTAATCATATGATTGTGGGGATCCTGCAACAGTCATACGTGATGACTGGATCAGTCATTTTTTTCAGTGCTGTTGTAACTTTAAACAGTCACTAAATAAATGCTTGTAAGTCGAAGACTGCCTTTATATAAAAGGCCATGCTTCTTGAATCCACAAATATGATATGCCGGTACATTATGAAATCCTAGGTTCTCGATGCATACGAAGGCCAACAACATCAGCTAAAAAACTGGCAGCTGTGACAGCTACAGGACTTGGATTTGGTGAGTCTAAAGAAAAGAAGAAATGGGGTGACATGATAACAGTATTCCAGTATTTGAGGGGCTGCCACAAAGAAGAGGGGGTCAAGTTATTCTCCAAAGCGCCTGAGGGCAGGACAAGAAACAATGGTTGGAAACTGACTAAAGAGAGAAGCAACCTGGAATTAAGGAGAAACTTCCTGACAGTGAGGACAATTAACCAGTGGAACAGCTTGCCCCCAGAAATTGTGGGTGCTCCATCACTGGAGGTTTTTAAGAGACTAGACAGTCACAATGGTATAAGTTCTCCAGCTTGAGCAGGGGGCTGGACTAGAAGACCTCCAAGGTCCCTTTCAGCTTCTATTCTATTCTATTCTATATATAGTAATAATGTAGAATGTTCAGGAACTGTCTGAAACCAGATTTCCCTTGTAAAAGTCTATGATTTATATATACAATTATTTCTCCAGCATTTCCCCAGCAGTCCAAGTGCAAAGCATCTTGTCGCTGAAGGGAAGAATAATAATCTTTGCTTCTGCTGCCATCCCCACCTTAGCAACAAGCTGCAGAAAAAGTCTTGTGATCTGTTATTTGAAATAAACCATGCAAAGAATGGTTGCATTAGTCTATGTCACAGGCACGTGGGGGGGGATACTAGAAAAGAGTAGAGGGGTGTTTTTTAAACTTGGCAACTTTAAGATGTGTGAACTTCAACTCCCAGAATGGCTGGGGAATTCTGGGAGTTGAAATCCACACATTTTAAAAGTTGCCAAGTTTAAAAGATACTGGTGTAGAGGATGTTAGAGGTAGGACGCTTCTAACTTGGAATTTGGAAAGGTGAAGCCTTTAATATTGTTAGCAATTCCACATTATTACAGTTTCCCACAAATTAATCTTCAGTTAATAGAGGTTAGCCAAGCTTTTAGGATTGAAACTCATGTTTGACATTTTGATACTATATTATGAACATTCCTATACAAATGATTATGGAAAACTGGGAAGTTGGTTCTTCCTCATCTTTTCTTACAGCGTTGGTGAAAATACAAGTGTGCTTTTCTTAGAAAAAAAAAAGATTGTGTTTGAGAATTCAGACTGGCTTCTAGCATGCGAGCTTCAAAACATACATATAGAAATGATCAGGCAAGACATGGAGATTTCTGTGGACATACCACTTTCATGGATCTATATGGAGTAGAAGTAATCCTTGACTTATGACCACAATTGAGCCCAAAATGTCTGTTGCTAAGCAAGACAGTTAAGCGAGTTTTGCCCATTTTACAACCTTTCTTGCCATGGTTGTTAAGTGAATCACTGCAGTTGTTAAGTTAGTAACGCAATTGTTAAGTAAATCTTGCTTCCCCATTGAGTTTTCTTATCAGAAGATTGCAGAAGGTGATCACATGACCCCAGGACACTGCAACCGTCATAAATATGAACACAACAGTTGCCTGAATTTTGCTCACAGGACCACAGGGATGCAGCAATGGTTGTAAGTATGAAAAACGGTCATAAGTCACTTTTTTCAGTGCTGTTGTAACTTTGAGCGGTCACTAAACAAATGGCTGTAAGTCAAGGACTATCTGTACTCAGAAGCTAAAACTTGCACCACTGTTAGTAGCCAGGTCAATAGCATATTTTTTTTTGTAATTGTTCCAACTCAGGTCTTAATTCAGGCTCAGCCACTCATGCCTTGCTCATCTTGCGCTTGGACTACTGCAACCCACTCTACTTGGTGCTACCCTTGAAGAGTATTCGGGAGCTATAGCTGGCACAAAATGCACCAGTGCAAACAGTTTTAGGGGTCCCTAGAGTGGCCCATGTTACACCACTGCTACACGAACTGCATTGGTTGCTGACTTGCTTCCGGTATTGTTCCAGGTGTTATTCATTACCTTTAAAGCCCCCTGTAGGGCATGGTCCAGGTTATCTGAAAAACAGTCTCACCCTGATGGGATTGGCCCTCCCTACTTAGTTCGGCAGGAGGGGCATGCTCTGGATTCCGTTGGCCAAGGAATTGTAGCTGGTGAGATCCAATGGAAAATCCTTTCTGCTATGACTCCTGCCCTTTGGAACGTCATGCCACTTGAGGTGAGATCTGCCCTCGCCCTGTTGGCTTTCCGAGGGACCCCGACTTTGCCAACTGGCCTGGGCCCCAATGGGAGGTGGTCTCATTTTAATGTGGCTAGTGAACTATTAGAAGATCCCAACTCCACCCGGAGTATGCATTTCATTTTATTTACTTTGTTGTTAACTTAGTGTTTTAACTTTGATGCCCAAAGTTTTGCTCTTTTGATGTTTTAATTGCTTATATCGATTTTTATAACCTTGTAAGCCAGCCAGAGTTGCTTAATAGTGAGATGAGCGGCATATACATTTAATAATAAATGAATAAATAAATAATAATTCTGATCATCCCCAGGAGTAGAGACTAGGCTGCCACCCAAAAGTCTGATTTCTCAGTTTTCCCCAACATACTTGTATTCCTCTGTCTTCCAGATGTTTGAACAGCTGTTTATGCATTGCCACCCTGTTGGGAAAGGAAAGAAATAGCAATACAAAAGGTTTAGGTGTAACCACTCTGCTTTATCTATTGTAGATCCCAGCAGAAAAAGGGAAAACAGTTAAATATGAGAAAAATCATAGTCTCACTTGGGGAGAGAGGGGTTATTTTTCTGATATTTATTGTCTCTAGCAGGGAAACAGCTGGCTTGGGTTATGGGCTTCATTAAGAACCCCCCTGCTGGGAAAGGAGAGGAGAAGGTGATGAAGGAAAGGAATACTTAGTAAGAACGAAACAATTAAAACCACGGCTCTGTGTCACTCACTTGGTGGTAAATTTTGCCAGTAGTGATCCAAGTCTTCCCTTTTTCACTGGAAAATAAGTCCTGGGATTAAAAACAAAACAAAAAGGTGGCAAAATTAACAAGGTCCTGAGAACTGCTGGTTTCCTGCTGTTCCTACTCTAAAATATTGGATCCCACACTTTTCCCAAAGAACCCATGAATTACAAAACATACGACAAATGCATCTGGTCCTTGACAGGCAAAACTCTTAGAATAATTTTTACACACCTGCCCTGTTTTTCTTCACAACTAAACTTCTACAGAACATGAAAGAGAACATGTGAGGAAGGTCGGCTTAACTTTATCCTGTCCAATTAACTTAGGTGTTAGTCACATTGTAGGGGGAAACCCCCAAGCTGTGAGATCTGATGTAACTGGATGCCTTGTGCATTAAGGTTCTTTGTTAAACTGCACCCAGTTAGAGGGATTCAGATTCAAGACAGACACAGAAGCATTGGACCCTGGACAGGTGGTTTTCTTACGTCTCCCTATAAGAGCGGGGGAGATAATAATAATAATAATAGTAAAGTTGGAAGGGACCTTGAAGGTCATCTAGTCCAACCCCCTGCTCAGGCAGGAAACCCTATACCATTTCGGACAAATGGCTGTCCTGTCTCTTCTTAAAAACTTCCAGTGTTGGAGCATTCACTGCTTCTGGAGGCAGGTTGTTCCACTGGTTAATTGTTCTCACTGTCAGGAAGTTTCTCCTTAGTTCTAGATTGCTTCTCTCCTTGATTAGTTTCCACCCGTTGCTTCTTGTCCTGCCTTCAGGCGCTTTGGAGAATAGCTTGACTCCCTCTTCTTTATGGCA